TCTGGGTACTTTCCATTTTCCACTGTCTTCGTATTTGAATTTCCAGATCCCTGTACTTGGCGGTTTTTTCGTTCTGTTTATTTGTTTATCTGTTTTTGTCCCTAGTAGACGTTATTATTATAGTTATTGGTGTTGGTGTTGAATAATCCTACTATCTTATCAGCCTTTTTTCTTAGAATATTGATTCTGATTTTTTTAATAAAATACATTTGTAGCAATTAAATAAAACGTTAAAAGATTTGATTTGAGTGGTACGCTCTATATGGAACAGAAAAATAGAGTTGATTTTATTGAAATTATAACATTAGTATAACATATAGTAATAACAAACAACGCCATGGTGAATCTTGGTACGTAGTAATCACAAACATTAAAAATATGTTAAAAATTCATCTAGAAAATTTTGTGCTACAATTATAATACGTATAAATATGTAAAACATGACATTCACGTGCATACACATATACCATATTCCGGTTGACGTTTTATCATACAAGTATATTACTCGTTTTTCTCTCCTAAGTTCCTGTATCGCTGTCAGGGTGTGCATTGAAAATGTGATTTATGCCTGGTGTACCAGCGTGGTTAGTTTGGCTCTGAGATTTTCGCTTTGCAAATGTTCCGGGCGTAAACATAGAGAAAAACAAATATGTAGGCGTATATCTGTAACAGAGAGTAGGTAATCTATTATTTTATTATTTTTGGTTTGTTATATTAACTAATGCACTGTTTTTATTAGGAAAATATTCGCATCCTTCAAATGTTATTAGCGACTTGGTTATATAATTATTTTAATATTAAATTATATACAGTATGTATAAATATTTTAAATATTTTTTGATTTATAGGATATCGAAGTGTCTTCCAACGGTTCGTTTAATTGGTTGTTCTTCTTCTACAGCACTACAGCCCAAATTAAACCTTGACTTTCTTTATTTTCTGCCTCAACCCTTTTTTGTATGTGGATGATCTTCTTACTATACGTACTACTTAAAGAGCTTGTCCATTGCTATTTACTGTGTCTTCCCAGCGCTATCATGGCTTGCCAACCGGTCTCTTTCCCTGCATTCTAGCATTCAGTGCTCTTTTTGGTAGCCTATGCTCTCCTATTCTTATCATGTCCGGCCCATTCAAATCTTTATAGTCTAATGAAGTCTGACGGTAATGCTGCCTTATAAAGTTGATAAAGCTCGTTAATAAACAGGTAGTGTTCAAGGTGTCAAACGATCTGGTGGACCAATAATTAGTGATGACAAAAAAATTGGCATAATTAAAGAAATGGTAGTGAAACCAACTTCTTCTACAGCTTGTTGCATCTATCTATGGAATCAATTAAAAGACAGTACAGCGAATATTGGCTGAACACAAATTTTATTTATACAAATTAAAAATTGTGCACCAATTTTCAGATCATGACCCCGACCGAAGACTAGAATTCTGTGAGAATATGTCCAATAAAATTAACCTTAAGGCCTATTACACAAAAACAACTTGTTTTGGTGACGAAAGTACTTTTTCTCTCTATGGAAATGGTAACACCCACAATGTGAGGTGTTAAAGTGACACAAATCCTCACGTCTTTCGTAAAACACATACTCAATTAAAAAAAATAAGTGTTTGGGCAGGTATTTTGGAAAATCTAGGTTACCTAGATGAGAAATATCGTGGTAGATAAATTGGACGATGGGGTTCTATAGAATGGCCAGCTCGGTCACCAGACCTCACACCATTATATTTTTTCTGTGGGGATACTTAAAATCTAAAGTTTAAGCACCCGACAATATTGTCATTTTGAAACAACGAATTGCTGAAGAACATTTCAACACAACAATTTGAACAAACAACGTTCAAATGGGTCGAGGCAATTTCCCCCGACATATTTGAACGAGTACGGCAGACTTTAGAAATAGGATGCACTACTGTCAAAGAAATAGACTGTTGAACACATAACTGGTTGTAATATCTTTCATTACATTTCATGATTTCATGATATTTACTTAATACTGTTAAATAAATTGACATATTCTAGCCCAGGCTATGGGGGAAAAAGGGTGATTTTACACTGTAATCCAGGAATTTATGTAATATGGCATAAGCTATAAAGGGCAACCTCAGGAGCAATCCCCCAGTTTATTTAACAAAAATCTTTTGGTTTATTATTTATTTATGAGCGTTTGTAGGTGCAAATACGCATTTTTTTACTTTTTTTCATTTTTTGCCTAAAGTAAGTATTTTCTGTATAGATTATGAAAATGTTCTAAAAGACCTTCAATTTGGGCCGGTACCCGTTCAATTTAATTTATTTGTTATTGCAAAAATGTCGAAAGATCAAAATTAAAAAACGTAATATTTATTTTCAAGCCTGTAAAATAGTAGTACTAGTAATTGTAGACCTAGATCACTTAATTTGTAGCTGAGATACGTTAATTAGTTTATCACATGACCACAAATAAATTAGTAAAACAAATATATATACAGTAAAATAATTGCACTTCATTTATATGGTTTTAAAATGAGATTCAATATTTATAAAATCAGAAATACGTTTAGTTTTTATTTATTTTTCTTTTTTTAGTATGTTGTACAATTCTCTAAGAATCATATAAAAATTCATCCAAAACATCCATCCCATTTTCACATTTTTTTTCTGCGTCATATAGTTTATATTCAGCAGTATGACAAATTTCGCAACTCTCTCCATTACAATTTTCGCACATTCTAGTACATTTTAGGCCGTGCGTTTATAACTGCAATTTTACAACTTCATAAATAATTGTTTTTAACCGGTTAAAAATTCTCAAAATTTACGGCTTTAGGAAAAGAATGAAACAATAATTATCCCTCTGCCATTTTTTTTTGCAATCCTATGAGCATTAAAAGTTGAAGATCATGGAATAAACTAATTAACGTATCTCAGCAACAAATTAAGCGATCTAGGCCTACTAAAGCTCATTCGATTCGTAAGTTTATAGGCTTGAACGTCATACATTCGAAATAATAAAAAAGCAATTTTGCAATATATATTCTGACCTTTATTCGTCATTTTTGCAATAACAAATAAATTAAATTGAACGTATACCGGCTCAAATTGAAAGTCTTCTAGAGTACTTTCACAATACAGAAATTACCCATTAGAACACTTACTTTGGGAAAAAAAGAAAAAAAAAACCAAAACGTACGCGTATTTTACACCTATAAACGCTCGTAAATAAACAATAACCAAACATTTATTGTTGAATGAACTGGCAGATTGCTCCTGAGGTTGCTCTTTAGTACCTAGGTCACATTACATAAATTCCTGGATTAAAGAGCGCTTTTTTTTGGGCTGTGGGGAAAAAACCACGATTATTTCGTATAATAACCAAGCCACAGAAAAGCGTGGCCGGGTCAACTAGTACAAATATAATTCATGTAACCAGTATCGTATGTAATATATGTAATATATGTAATAATAATAAGTGTATAAGGAAAAATGTTCATCTGTACCAACTGTTCCAAATGTACCAACTGTTCCTTTGCCACCCGAACCAGTAATTACACATATGGGCCCAATAATTGCTCCATTGATTTTGACGAAGAATCTGACATTGCCATAAAAAATTGTCACGAGGTTTAAACAAAAAGCTTCTTAGTCCGAAGTCCAACTGCCAATTCGTAAGCGGTAATATTTTAAGTTTGGAGGTGCCAGGAATGCCACTTACTGAATCTGCAGAAATAGTTAAGAGATTAAAAAATGAAATAAACAAAGTAAAAGGAAATATTGGTGAAATTGTTAAAAAAATGTAAGATGTATTTTAAAATAATTATTGTTATTTACTGTTAATAAACATGCCTACAGTTTTAAATGGTGTTGTCAGTGTCGCTGTTAATTTATATCCCAAGTTCATTAGTACTATGAAGTAGTTTGGACTAATAACATCGGTAGATGCAGAAATATTAGTTTCGAAATATAAGTTCATATTATCTGACACAAAACAAAACATGCATTTTGATTTGTTTATCATTTATATAATTTATGTGTGTATCAAAAATATTTCATCTATAAATAAAAATTATAAACATATTTGCAAATATATGTGCACATATTTACGCAAATTTCGAACAATTTTAGCGCATATGAATATGTCCTGTCTCTAATTATAGTAATATAATTTTGGACAATCTATTCAAGTTCTGTACTTACGTCATCTACGGTATTGCAAAAGTAAGTATTACAAAATAAAGGTACTTGATCTATAACAACAACAAGATATAGTGTATTGTACTTTACCAGAAGGAAATGATAGCACCAACTGCTATTGTCGTTAAAGAATGTCCTCAACGACATACAGGAACCACAAAAGTATTGATGATGAAGCAGCCTCAACTCCTACTGGATGGAACGACTGTCTCTAACAGGCTGGTGGTGACTGAGTGACTGATGGTGCCTCGGCCGTTGGGCCAGGAGTTGTTTTGTAGGAGCTGACGCTAGGTGTAGGCTATAATTACCAGCAGCGATCTGCACTTTAAACACAAGGTTTTCATTTTTCGATCCTTCTTTGTTAACATACAATGTATGAAAGAGCTGTATTTTGTCTGAAATAATGTATTACAACCGATTATTGTTCTATTGCGTATGTGTTTTTGTACGCAGAATTTTGGTTAAATATACGGAGATAATCAAAACTTACACAATGTCTCTTAATAATTTAACAAGGTTTATATAAAGTTTTAAAACTGCAGCATGCATGATTATGATTTGGGAGCAAAAATCAAGGCGATCTTGCTCTTCTTGCCGTGCCATAAAGGTAATATAATTTTGAAGGGATTGGCGCTTTATCTACTGCACCTAGATAAATAAACTAGGACCATAATGAATTAGTGCATCTATACCGTAAATTGTGTTAGAGATACATAAAAAATTGTATTGCAGATTAAAAAAATATATAAAATAATAATATAATAATTGTTAATCCAAATAATTAGTAAAAAAATTTAAATTTTTAATCTTTGTTTCAGGATGTTCCGGTAATCCAGATGCCAAAAGACTTTACGATGATCTGCTTTCCAACTACAACAAGTTGGTACGACCAGTCATCAATGTCACCGATGCTCTCACCGTCAAAATTAAACTCAAGTTATCGCAACTTATCGATGTTGTAAGTATACGTAATGTAATTTAAAATTAACACTAATTATAAGGAATCAAGTAGACATTTTTGTTTTTGAAATGAAAAAAAATTAAATAAACATTTATAATTAGTTAATACCATTAGATTCATAATTTTTTGCATACCTTAAAAAGCACTCCCATTTACAGCATTGACAAAAGAAAATGTATCTTTTGTTTTGAAACTCAACTTATAGTTATCAGCTACCAGATAACTATGTTTTAATCTCATTACATGTAGTTTCATTGTTTACTAAAATCCCAATAAAGTTAATCATTGAAATCATACAAGCAAAATGGTCTTAAATAAAACAATTCACATATTTATCAAGAAAAGACATTTTGTCATTAATAACATTTTTATTTAATATCAAATATTTTTGTTTTTGTGATAAATTCTATAAACAAATATTTGGAACAACGATGGGCAGTCCTATAAGCCCTATCTTAGCAACAATTAACCTAGACCATTTAATAGACCTCGTAATCTCAAAATTGCCGTTTTCACTAGCATTTATTTATAAATTTATTGATGACATAATATCATCGAGCAAAAAGATAAAAGAGGGAATCTAATCGTTACGAAAAGGAGACCAAAAAAGTGGCCTCTGATGGCGGACATATCCGGAAATGTAAAGGCGCTAAATTTAAATTTTCCAACACTTATTAACAATGGCTATAAAATATTTTTCAGACGAGAAAGTTTTAATTAAATATTAACTATAATAGTCTAAAAAGTGACACAATTGGTAAAAAACTTCAATATAAATAAAATTTCATGTGACAGTTGGGACAAACAATAACATAACCAAACTAATATACTATAACTATAATTTAGTTACTTATTTGAATAATTTACGAAAATTGTTGATTTAGGATTTTTTTTGTTTCAGAATCTCAAGAACCAAATCATGACAACGAATTTATGGGTTGAACAGGTAATGATATCTGCTAAATCATGTAAACTTTAAAAGTTTTATTTTCTCTACCAGAAAATCTACCTGTATTTTTAAAATATACCGGAATTCATTCTGTATATTTTTTCATTGTTTATACAACAGATTTTATGTCGCCAATAGGTTCATGAACGTCTATAAAGTGTCGCTAGGAATGGTTTATTTGACCCCAGAAAGCGCTGGTAATGGAATAATGAATTGTTTTATTGTTTTTCGACTATAAAAAAATACAAAGCCAGTATTAGCCAATGCAACGATATTTTTGTTGCTTACAAAATCAATAATAACAGTTTATTAAAGCTTTTATTTCTTCCAGTTAAACTTATTTCATACTACATTTTTAATTATGTACCGGGTGGTCCAATAAGCAGATCTCTCGGCTATATATCAGAAACTATTCATGTTATAACTTTAGGAGAAAAAAATTCTTAGTAAAAGTAGTAGGGGGCGTAACCTGTGAAGAAAACTTTTAAAGCCAGTTTTTTTTTAAACCACACTGTGTGGTGTTTTTTTAAACCACACTGTGTGGTTTCATCCTTGAAAGAGCTTAAATCAGCATTCAAATGAAGCCATCGGTTAAAATTAAATGAACAATAGTATTCTTACTGTTTTTCTTGTAATTTTTTTTGTTTCGTTTCTCTTGTTTAGTTTGTAATCTTTAATGTTAAGTTATCGTAGAGTTTTTATAACATTCTTAAAAAAATCTACAAATTGTTTTTTGAACTGATGATGCTTTTAAAAATAAAAGCGAAACGTATTCAAATAAATCAAGTAAGTAGTTGACGACTTTTATTTGCCAATTATTGACCGATAAAACCTCTGCTATTCAACCATTGAATATATTTTAAATTTAATCAATGGTCGTATTTTTTGCTATATATATATATATATATATATATATATATATATATATATTTACAAAACAGCATTAGGCCCTACTTTTTTAGAAGGAATTGTAAGGTTCTTTAAATTAAAAGAGAAAACCGAATGGAAATTTCAGATTCATTGGTTAGAGCACGTTTATTAAACATCAACGTCTCTACTGTTTATTTTATTATCTCAAAAATCGGACAACAGATTTTCAATATTACAGATCAGTTAGATCAGATCATTCCAGTCAATGTGTTAGATCAGTATTAGATTACATTTATTTCTAGATTCAATTCTCATTAGTGATGTCCTTTGTCTAAACTTGAACTCAAATTGAGCTGTTTAAGCTCATAACTCGTTTGATAAAATCACAGTCGATAAAATCAATAAACGACTTAAAAATCTTTTTGAGGTTGACCTCCCGCCTAATATTAAGATTTGAGCTTTGAGTCCCAAATTTGGACTACACCACTCTTTCAAGTATTACTCTATTTGCAACGTTCTTGTTAATATTAATAATGTCCGGTCACCTGGCAGTGATCTTGATCTCACTGACCTTCCTTTAAATTGCAACAATATTCTGCGAAAGTTCACCCATAAACCACTTTTTTCCCCTTCGGTGGGTGACTTGACTTTTATAGAAACGTCTATATTTCGTAAAAACCATCCTGACTTATTTGTTCTTGTTAGTAATAAAGGAAACTCCACTGATGGCATGGAATGGAAACAATATCTTTTTCTTAACCAAATTTTGGTGGACGATGAGATATATTACAATCCTTTAACCAGGAGTTTAACTTCCACTACTACGAATAAAATCAATAAACATATTACTTAAATGAAGAGATCCGATGTAATTGATGAATCTATAAAAAAATATTTACATTCCTATAATGGCTACTCACCTCTACTTTACTTTTCATCCAAAAAATCATAAACCCCAACTTAGCATGAGGCCTATTGTATCTTCTATCAATTTTCCTAATGGCAACTTAGCTAAATTATTATTAAATATATTAAATATAGCTTATAACACTGATAATGGATTAATGTTGGAGACTCTTTTAGATTCGGTTCTTTTATAAATAGTTTTCAACTTCTTGATGGGCACATCTTTGTTAGCTTCGATGTTGTCTCCTTATTTACTAACTTACCATTAATGATCGTTCTTTCAACATTAAGAAATCATTGGAATTACATTTAATTGTATAGCAATTTACCGTGGGATAACTTCTCCGAGATGCTGAAAATGGTGATTGATACTAATAATTTGGTCTTTAATGACAAATACTACCTTCAAAGATTTTTAACCTCGATGCTGGATAATTGGATAGTCATATGCAACTGTTGCATAGTCATATCCCTTTTGTTAAGAGGTATGTACATAACCATTGGTCATGGAATCATACATGTCCATTAACTGGGCTCACGGAGCACAGAGTCACCTTCTCTGTCGCTCACGTGGGTAACTCCAATCTGACGCGTCCATGTCGCGGGGGTGGGCATCTATCACTTCAGTAGGCCGGAGTGAATAGATGGCTAAGTCCAGATCGGGACCCAGTTCTATGGGGTATAACATGGACACCTACCTAGGGATACAGGTGAAGACCACAACGGTAGGCACGGCGAAGAAGAAGATCTTCGCCGTGCCAATGTGCCTTCGTGGATGGCGGAAGTGGCATCCCTGGATTTTAGGGATAGTATAAAATCAAACCGATAGCGTCTGTCCCATATTTTGCAGTTGTCAACAGCGTCTGTACCCATAATGAGCGGCTGAACTAAAAACTCGTCAACACGCAAAGCAAGTGTGACGTTTGAATTGCTATTACCCCTTTATTATGTCAGATACGAATACAAAAACGGATTTACCCCAGGTGAGTAGAAAGAAAAATTCAGAATTTCACACTGATAGACTATCAGTCAGTCCCACGGATTCTGGGGGGGGGGGGACAAAATTCTGACATATTTTAGAAAACCATCTAACAGATATATATTTTTAAAAATTGCAACTTTCAATGCAAGAACCCTGCTATCAGAAGAAAAATTCATAGAAATGGAATCTGAACTTGATAAAATCAATTGGGACATTGTTGGAGTCGCTGAGGTCAGAAGGAAAGGAGAAAGCCTAACCACTTTAAAATCCGGTCACATTTTCTATCATGTCGGAGAAAACGATGGGAATGGAGGCATTTGGCTCTTTATTAATAAAAAACTAGCTGAGAATATCATATCAGTAAAAGCAGTTTCCACAAGAGTTATACTTGCAAAATTACAACTAAACACCCGTTACTCCATAAAGATCATTCAAGTCTACGCACCAACATCGAGTCACACTGACGAAGAAATAGAACAGTTCTATGATGACTTGTACACAGCTATTTCAGAAGACCAAGAACATTTTACGGTAATATGTGGCGACTTTAATGCCAAAATAGGAATAAGCACTGACCCAGCTGAAAATGCCCTCGGAAATTTTGGCACGCCAGATAGAAATGAAAGGGGCGAAATACTCTTAAATTTCTATTAGAACAATCTATATTTAATGAATAGCTTCTTCTATAAGAAGATCCATAGAAGATGGACTTGGAAGAGCCCCGATGGTAAGACAAAAATGAGATCGACTTCATCATCACTGACAAAAAACATATAGTCAAAGATGTTACAGTCTTAAATCAATTTTCGGTTGCAAGCGATCATAGAATGGTCTGAGCAACTGTAGAAATCAATATTAAGCAAGAAAAACTGAAGATGATAAAAAGTAAAAAATTCAAACCTTGATGCCCAACGGTTAATTGACTATTCAAAATATATCACCAGTAACTTACTCAGAAATACAACAAGAGAAGACGTAAATAACCTAAACGAAGAAATAGTAGATACATTAACACAAGCTCAGGAAAAATTTGGCCCTAAACATGGAAAAGAACAAAAAATTAGTAAAGAAACGAAACAAAAAATGGAAGATCGTAGAATGCTGAGAAGTCAAGGAAATGTTGACTCACAAGATATAAACAGCATCAATAAATAAATCTCTAAAGCCATCAGACGGGATATTAGAAAATACAACAACGAGAAAATTATAAAAACTATCTAAAATTATAAAATCTGATTCCTCTTAAAAGAACGTCTTATTTCTCATCGAAGTGATATAAATTTTTCTAACATACGTGTGTCTTACCTACACGTTTTGGCAACCAATCATCAGGCTGATTTTGAGAGTACTGAAATTTAAGCCACGGAAAATAATTATTTCAAAAGAACTTTCTTTGAGATCGCATTCTCAAATAGCTTTGAACTATGATATTTACTATCTCTTTAAAATTTATTATTTACTCATTTTACATAACAAGTAGAAAACAGGAATTTTGCTTTGTGAGTTGGTGGCCTCATTTTTTCGTTTAATTTCTTTTGCTTCATATTTATTAGAGTTTAAATAATAGTTGAGATAACCCTATCTTTAGCGGCCAGGTTAGTTTTTTTATATCAACTCTTAATTGGTTTTAAGATATTCATCTTGAGATTACCTAGCTTTTTATGTTAAATCACATTAATCAACCTTTTTTTATTATTAAAAAAAATTTACATCAAAGAATAGTCTCATCTCCTCAGGCCAGACAGCATGCAATACATTCTTGTTGTTAGGATGAGTATATTATCTAAACTGACGAACTATTGAACATTTTATGTAGGTGTGTCACATTCTTCAACATATCACATTCTTGTATGTATAACATTTATCGGAGCTTCTTTACCAAAAGAAGTCATTATTAATAGTTGCATTTTTCAAGTGGAACCGTAAATATATCCTGTTATACAGTGTGAGAAATGCTTCAGATATGGACATATGATACAACAATGTAATGGGAAGGAGCGCTGTAAAAACTGTGGTGAAAAGCATAGTAATAAGGACTGCTCTGTAGGAACTAAATGTTTATACTGTGGTCAGCAACATTCGGCACTATCAAGAGAATGCTCAGAATATATGAAATAACGTAAAATTAAGGAAATTATGGCAACAAAAAATATCTCGTTTCAGGAAGCTGAAAAGTTCAAAGCAATCCAAATTATTATTCAAACATATAACCTAATAATAGATTTTAATACCAAATGGT